GATAACTACTAACCTGATTCCTCAGAATCTTCACACAATTAAACAGCAGTGTTGAATTGTATGTCCATGGAGCTGGTTCACCAGTGAGAGATCAATAATTTCAAGTCTCACAATTTGCAAATTAGTGAATTCCACACATTGGAGCTCACCTCTCCGTCTTGAATGGGCTTCGTCTAGGTTCTAAAGATACAGTAACATCAGTTAGCTTATAAAATGTTCCAAAATGTTTCAGCAATAACTAAAACAAACATTAAGGTTAACCTCAATTGGGTCCAGCTGGGACCAATATAAATGGAACCCATCCGTTGGAGGAACTATGGCAACATCTAGATGGCAAAACCAAGTCTCAAATGTATCATCAACAATGGTCCTACTCCTACTCCACGAGCCCTGATTAGGAGAGTTTTTTTAGAAGGTCCAGGATTCTGGAGGCTTAACTTTAGAATCAAAAGAACAAGGTTTTTCAGGCCATAATTTGTTGACGCATTGCACTACTTCATTAGTGAGAGTACTTTCCCAGCACCAGGAGGACCAGCTAAATCCACAGTACACATGCATCACTCTCAAGCATTGGACTTACAAAAATGTAATGGCAATCAAGTAACACTGGTAGAAAGTAGAAACTACAATACTTATAAGTTGTTTCACCAAACAGAAATAACTACCTAAATAAGATAACAATAAAGTTTTAATTAATTCACAGAGCAGGAAATTACTTGACATTAGTTTTTGATGCTACTGCTGACATTGACACAGGAAGAACATGCTTGACCGAAGAATAAAAAATCACATTTGTATAGCTTTAAACAAAAAATGAAGCAAGATTTATTATAAATAAAGTATCAAACCAACAATATAGTTTTTCCAACATCTAGTATATATATATACCTGGCCTCCAAAACCAGAATTACTTTATTTTGACTACATAAAAACTACAAAAAAAAAAAAAAAAAACCCATAGTATCAAACTAACAACAATTTTTAAATCATATAATGAGGAAGAAATGCCTAACAGGTTGAGAATTCCACAACCTTAAGGCAGTTCTCTTTCAGCACCGGAGAAACAGCTTTACTCAATAATGGTTGTGTTTATGTAGTTATTCACAGAAAGACATTGATTCCGTGAAGGAGGCTAAAGGCTTAGTTTTACGATGCTTGGCACGTACCTAAAATGTAGATTTATAATTTATAATTAATTTGTACACACTTTTACAAATTTTAATTAAAATTTCATATTTTTTGGATAGTAAAAACAAAAAATAATAAGGCTACAGCCATTGCACAGTACAGCACCACCTACAAAGGAAGCCTAATTGACTCTGCAAATTGATACAAATAACAAAAAAAAAAGGTTAAATGCTTAATTGGGTCCCTCAACTTTATGAAATGAACATTTTTGGTTCCTCAACAATTTTTTGCACTTTTTTGATCCCTTAACTATACGAAATGCATTCTGTTAGTCCTTCTGTTAATTTCGATCGTTAACTCGCTTACGTGGCATTTTTTATAATTTTTTTGATGACGTGGCAAAAACAAATTGAAAACATATTGATGTGGATTTTTTTTTCATGCCAACTCACATTATTACTATTTATATTTTAAAAAAATAAAATAAAATAACTCACGTTCATCTTCTTCCTTTCTCTTTTGCTTTTTTTTTTCCTTCCGCTTCTTTCTTCCTCTTTCTTCCTCTTCTTCCTCGGGTCATTGAACCCAGTTGCTGGGTTCGACTGAACCCAGCAAATGGGTTCCATTGAACCGAGCAACTGGGTTCGGTGGAACCCAGCATTGGGTTCCATTGAACCTAGATCTGCTGGGTTCGACCAAACCCAAAACCCAACTCCACTTTTTTTTTTTTTTTTTTGATTATATGATTGTTTGCCAAGAGATTATCCAAATTGTATGGATTTTTGAGTAATTGAGTTCAGTGAATCGAGCTGGGTTCGATGAAACGTATTTGGTGGGTTTTGTTCTGTCGAACTTCAATCTTGAAAATGAAAAGAACATCGTTTATGAAAAGAATAGAAATAGTAACGGATGGGGAAAGAAGCAATTCTTAGTGGTGATGTGGGACCCATTTGGATGGAATTAGTGTGTTTTCGCCAAGTAGCATGTGACATGGCAAAAGTTTTATGCAAATCATCACCTTTTTAAGTTTTGCTCTCCACATCATCAAAAAAAAATATAAAAAATGCCACTTAAGTAGGGTTAACGGCCTAAACTAACAAAAGGACTAACGGAGTGCATTTCGTATAGTTGAGGGATCAAAAAAGTGCAAAAAATTGTTGAGGGACCAAAAATGTGCAACTCACTAAAGTTGAGGGATCAAATTTAACATTTAACCAAAAAAAAAAAAAAAAAAAGAAGCAAATGCATTATTAGCGGACTACAGACATTGTATAGGATGTAAAAAAGGGAGAAAATTAGTGAAAAAAGAATTCAATTATAATGAAATTATTTTGGATAGCATTCCAAAATTGACGCCATTAATTCGAGTTACAGCTACGGATGTACACAAAGATTATGAGCAGAAATAGAGGAGAAACCTGTTGAAGAAAAGAGATAGCTCGTTGTTGGAGTAATAAAAAACAGTGAAACCTCCATTGACGACTCAGGAGGAAGAAATTAAAAACTTGAACTGTGCATCTAGCTAAACACGTCAGAGACACAGAGACTCTGTGCCGGATCTTTTTCATTGTCTCTCTTTTTAAACAAAAAAAAAAAAAAACGGAATTTATTTGCGTATCTGTTTGATTGGATTAAAAAAATTAAGGAAAAATTGGTACTAAATTATTTTTAAAATAATTTTCGACAAATATTCTGCAGATGAAATTTTAGTAACTAATAAACCATTAAAGCCTGTCTAGTTGCACAAGAACCTGGAAAAAATATCTTGGGAAGTCTATTTGAAAATAGCTCGCTACAACTAGAATTTTTTTTCTTTTATAAATTTTAAATTTGCAATATAATTAAGGGATTAGTATTTATTTGTCTTACCTTCAAAAAATTAAGAAAAAAAAGATAAAAATTACCTTAATATATGTTTTAAAAATATGATAGTTTAATTTTTTAATAAAAATTTATTAAAACGATATAATTTTGAAATAATTTTTCTTTTAATCTTTAAAAAGTAAAACTGATAAGTCTTATTTTTAATAATTAATTAATTATATTATTGAAATAATTGTTTATATGGACATTTAAATAATAAAATGAATTATATTTTTATTATAAATTATTATATATTCTGAAAATAAATCTTCCACAATATTTTTTAAAAAGTGCTGTCTCGAAATATATGAGCTTATGTACCTTTAGCTCAGAAAAAATATCAAGGGAAAAGTCGTGGTTCAACAACCCACGACTTTCTAAGATATTCTTTTCGAGTTCATAATGACTTTTTGGGATATTCATTTCGAATTCTTGAGCTACCGAATTGGCCCTAAAGGCATGGCAAAGGAGATAAAAAATTAATTTTAATCTTCTTAAGGGATTGTTTGGTATCCCCTATTCAAATTAGTTTTGGAAAAAATTTTGCATCATAAAATGTGCACATATGTAAGAAAAAAATTTAAAACCAAAGCATATGAGTGATTACTTTGTAAAGTAACTCATTGATAATGTTGGCTTGATTATTTTTTGAAGGATTTTTTTAATTTATTTTTTAAAGATATAAGTTAAGAGTTTTAAAAAAATAAATATTGATATTTAATTTATCATTCATTTAATTAAATTTATTTACGTGATAATAATTTTAAAATTAATATTAATTTTTATATTTTTTATATAAATTTATGATTAAAAAAAACTCTTAAAATATATAGTAAAAAATTATAAAAATGATAAAGGGATGTTTTGCGATATTCAATAAATTATATTCGCACATAATGTGTTAAAGTGCAATTTAATCACTTACCACCGCACTATAATCCATTATAACCTTGCCATGAAATTTATGTCCAAAATTTGAATTTTTAGAGGCAAACCACATTGTGTTAGCTAACGGCTAGCCAATAAAACCTTCTTGGGGTTAAGACAACCAAACAATCCCTAAAGTTGTCATGCAATGAAGAGGATCACGTTACTGGAATGTGCATATAACCGGACTTAATGGTTTTAACAAAACAGTGAATGGTCATAACTGTACCCCCATGTAATTATTAATTTATTATTATTATTATTTTTAAATTACATAACTTTTTTTAACTCTTTTTATTTATATATAATGCTGCTTAAATTAAAAAATTTTAATTTTAATTTTAAAAAATATTATTGATTTATTTAGGTCATTATTTTTAATTTATTTATACGTATGTGATCTTTAAATTAATGAAACTTTGATAACAAATAAACCTTTAAAATTATAATTTTTAGCAAATATCCCCATCCTGATTTGTTCAAAGTAAACACGATGGACCACATACTAATAAACGTGTTCATGATACAGATGGCGATTCAAGTCATACTTGAATCAGCAGAGGATTCTCCAAGTTCACCAAGAAAAATGAATGATTCTCACATCTTAGACCTATTTAGGTTTGGAATAAAGATTCTAAGAATTTCATAAGAAAATATTATGGATTTCTTTGATTAAAAAATGGAAAAGAAAAAGACCCAGCGGAGTAGATACCGAATGGAAGTACTATTGGGATGATATCTTCATAAAATCATCTTTATTCTGTCAAAATGAAGGCGCTAGTTTCTAGAAATTCCAGCAGAGATCACGGCTAGTGTCCTGATAACAAAATAACTCCGATTCTAACCAGAAGTTTTGGAGTGGATGAAAACTCCAACATGGTGATCACCGATCACTAGCTTCTGTTGCAATAAAGTTCAACTAATAATACAACTGACATTTTAAAGGCAAATTCTAAGAAGCGACAATGCCTCCCTCCTAATAATAATTTCCTAGTTATTAATTATAACGAAAAAGTATAATACAATTTAAACTGTATTGAACTGTGTTATATTAATTATTAGATAAAAGATAAAAGATAAACTAATTTGTCCCCCATCTATTGGATCCTATTTTACAATCTAATACAATCCGAATTATAAAAGAGTTCCTTAATTATAATTGCATCAGGAAAAAGTCCCATGAATGTTCATGTGTACAACAGGAGTGCAATGAAATGTTGAAATCATGTAGGATGATCAGTTCACGATCACATTACATTGCCTTCTTGCCATCGTCTGCTTCTTATCATCGTCATAAGACTGCATAGAACAACAACACCAGAACATAAGATAGGACTTTTTTTCACGACATTGTTGTCTACTCAATCAGTGCATTCCTTAATTTCCATGATTTCCACATCACCACAGGTTCTGAAGATCTTCCATTATCTAAAATTGACTTTAATAGAAAAGATTAGTTAAAATGTTACATCAATCTTTATCAACATGGTTATGGTTGTAGCGTTTTCTGATATTAGTAGCAAACCAATTGATTATTGCCAATGTTGTTCAGCTATGTTTGGAAGTTGTGTAAATACATGCCAGTGCATACAGACCACTTCCCATCAAATTTCCCTTCTTCCTGACAATGCTTATGGTTAAACACAGTTTTTGAACATACCTGTTGACTGACAAAATATGGAACATGGATTCTTTTGGAGCCATCAGCTAATCGCTTGCATGGAAGACGCTTTTCTGCAGCAGCAGAGTTATTACAGACCTGCCAACATATTCAACAAGAGGTTAGACTATTTGTAACATCTTCAGACACGGTTGTAAAGTACTGGAAAAAAAACGTATCTATTAGACCAAATAGCCGATGGATGAGCAATTAGAGTTTAAGTAGCCCAAAAAGAACTAGTTTTTTCCAATTACCTGGCTTTTAATGGTCCCTACCAAAAATTCTTGACATCCGGATGCATGTACACTCTCCAAGCGGGGGCATTGAAGGAGTAGTCTATCTGGGGAATGGAAACAACAGGTAACTGAATAAATCCTATCTAGATTCAAGAAATGGTGACAGGTAAGTGACCCAGTATTCAAACAGATTATTTAAAAAAAAGAAAAAACAAACGAACAAACAGACAGACATAATAGCATACCAGGATGTAGGTTTTTGCAAGAGTTTAAATTCAGGTCATTGAGTTCTGGGCAGTGCAAATATAGAGCCTGGATATTAAATTCACATAATTACAAATCACATCAGGGTTCAAGGCAAAGCCCCAATAATATACTTTAGATTTTGAATTAAAAGAATCTCACATCTAAGCCAGAACAACCCCACAAGCTGAGTTTTTTTAGTCGGCTGTGTTTGATAATGAGCTTCTGGTACATAAGGTGTAGTTTGTTGCTGAATGTGCTTTGCAGTTCACAATAGCTGTCTTCATCAGGGGTTGGATTCTGGGAATTGGGATCACATAAGGTCATCCCACAGTCCACTAGTTCAAGAAGAGGTAGTTGCGTTGTGGCAAACTGAATCCCATCTGAAAAACGGATAAACAAGATTATCAATATATAGAATATAACAAAATGCCCCCAACAATGATATTAATGCAAACTTTGGGTGGGACAATTACTTGAAGTGATGTTAGGGCAGAGAGCAAGGAGTAGTCTTGATAAAGTGCTAGGGAACACATTGCATATCATATGAATTCCACTATCGGTGATGCTAGACCTGAAACCAAGTTGCAGTGTCAGACATTTGATGTAAAGATTAACAAACAAAATGCAAATCAATTAGAAAACACAACAAAGGAAAAGCATTCAAAATTGAGCCCAAAAAACACACCCACTCAGGTCCAGTAATTCCAACTTTGAATAGCTTGACACAATAGAAGCAACAGATGCATCAGTGATTTCTGATCCAAGAACAAGTGAAAGCATTCGCAAGCCCCTATATTATAGAGAAACAGTTATTAAACGCATGATAAAAAAGAGTCAGCTGCTGAAACAATACAATTCTCCCTTAAAAGGAGTCAACTGCTGAAATAATACAAGTCTCCACTAACAATGCAACGCCAAAAAGCAGATGGATAGAAAACTGGAAAAAGCAAATCAAGAAATGCTACTCAATATTTTTGAAAAGAAAATAGCCATTTCTTTGCAGAAATTATTAGACACACCTCAGGTTTGCAGCTGTAAGAGCTAGCACAACAGCATGAGACAACATAGGTGATGCAATGTGTATATTTTGCAACCTCGGGCAACTCCTTCCCAAACCATCAATTGCAGTAGTAAGGTCAGTATTATTATTTTCTTGGCATGAAAATTCTAGAGATATCTCTTTCAAATTGGGACAGTTGAAAACCTATGAAGGAAGCACATAAAAAGACAAATTCAGTTAAATTTCTCAGAAAATTTAAACTAAGAAAGACAAATGACCAGATCAAACATTTACCATCTTGGAGAGGGAATAAAGATCTGAAAGCCAGAGTGTAGAAAGACTTGTTGAACAGAGGACAAATCCTCCTAAATTAGAACAACCTTCCATCTTTAGGCTCATCAAACAACGTTTATCAGCAACAAAACGCCCAAGTTCATCTCTACATATACAATTACAAAAATCAAAGACATTGCAGCCAAAATGGGAGCTGGAGGGACAAAATCCAGAAAAAAAAAAAATAACTTAAGACTCATTTCTCAGACCAAGAACTGATTAATCAGATCACAAGTTTTTATTCATGATTTGTAACCAGAAGCACACTGTTAAGAAAGCTGCTTCACAGGGCATAATTAACTTCACATACTATTACATTTCAAATAGAGAAGGGGCCAATCAAGACCAAACAAACAAAATTATTAATCCATCTGACCCTGCTATTCAACAGCAGGCACCTCAAATCTCAACCTTTTATGATTAACAAACAGATAATTTTGACAAATGGGCTTAACAGGAAACTATTTGTCCATTAATAGATATGGAAAACAACATAACAATCAAACAGTAACACAGTTTCTTAACCGAGCGATGATATACAAAGCACCAAATGAAAAATGTCAATAAACAAAATAAAAGCCTAAGATGTGTAATTATACCCTGTGATTCGGTTGACTGCCAAATCCGATGTACAAATCTCCATATGCTCCAGATTTGGGCAAGAAAATGCGATGCAGGCCAGCATTGTTGAATCCACATCACTGCAAAACCCAATAGGAAATTTTCATCAATAAGCACACACACACACACACACAAACAAAAAACCATTTCTTCACACAAAAACAAAAAACCATTTCTTCAGATCTAATAGGCTTTTACTTTTTATTAAGATTCTAAAGAAAGGGAGCAGGGGAAACTGAAGCTACAAACAATAATCTGCCATTGCTTCAATTAAATTAATGGGTATTCAACTTTCACCTAGTGAACAAAGATCTTCAAATTAAGTTTCAAGTCAATAATCTATGACATTGTTTTGCTGGGGCTTCATGGTTGCATGTTAGTTCGTAATTCTTGAAAGACATTCTGAATGCCTTCCAAACAGCATCAAACTAAAATGCTGCGTAGATTTGAACGTTTGATTACAAATCAACTGACATTTCACTTATACCGGTTAAATTCCCGTTCGATTTCCTCTAATTTGTTTCGAGATGATGATTTTATCCCATTCTTCGTTAGTAGGAATCGATCCATTGGACAAAACCCTAGATCTGACTAGAAAAAGACCCGAACCTTTCCATTCTAAGAGAGAGCCTAACAAGGGACGGACACTTCTGCAAGACGGATCCAGCGAACCCGAGCTGAGCCTTCCTAGGGACCCTAAGCCTCAGCTCTTCGGCCGCACGCCAGACACTCCTAGCAGTATCTTTCCACCCCTTGCAGACCCCCGCCGCTGTCAGAAGCCCTACAGGAGGCAATCTCCTCAAAACCTCCCACAGGCACACTGCTGGCAACCCGCCCGATCTCATCACCTCGTCCGGATTCAGATCCGGCGGGGACACCTGGTAATCGTAGTGATCCACAGCTCGTTCCGGCGTATCACAGAGAACATCAATATCGTCAAATGAAAGAGCACGGCGGAAGTTGGAGGGCGGACGAGACTGCGGAGTATTACACAGCCGGGAAACGCAGGACGAGGTGGAGTCAACGGTGGTCGTCGGACCAGGAGTGGCGACTGACGTTGCGTTGGTAGCAGCAACGTTGCAGGTGTGGCCCTTCTTAGGTAGACCGCATCTGCTACAGTTGTAACTTCCCCGGCGTTTAGCAGATTTCAAGTCAAGAACGGGGAACGCAGCCGCACTAGCTGGAGGGATGTGAGGCTGGTTGCGGTGCATGGTTCCCTGCGAAGAAGAGAGCGTCGGAGAGGGAGGAGATGGGATGAAGGGAAAGGAGAAGCGGAGGAGGAGAAGAATAGCATGAGAAAGACGGGAAATAAAGGGCGGGGAGGGGCGGGAGAATTGGGAAGGTTTGGCGCCGGATTTCGAAAGCTGAGGGAGAGGAGCGTGGGTTTTACTATGTGCAATTACAATTGTGTCCTCGTTACAGTGAAAAACGTGATTATTTTATCATTTTTTTCCCGGACCCAAATTTCCCGGTTTAGGCGGGTAGGTTGGCGCTGCCTAGATTCAGAATTCAAGCGGCTTTTGGTAACTAGAAACCTAGTTAGATGTTCATAAATGACTTTGGTATTCTGTAATTGATATAATTTGAGTTATAAAATAATTATTTATTTATAAATATAATATATTTAGAGAATTTAAAAAAAATTAAATTTTTTTAAGTGTATAAAAATTAAAAATTAAAATGAGTAAAAGTACATATAATTCTACTATGATATCATACGATAAATAATTTTAAGAATTTAATTATGTGTAATTCAATGAGAAAAAGAAAAATAAGTGAGTTGGTTGCAAACTTGTAATCTTTATATTCTCAAACTATAATGGAGTTTTTAAATTCTACATAATAATAATAACTTTTAATTTTTTTATTACATATAAATAAGTATTATTTACTCGTTTAATATCATATCGTTTAATATCATATGATTGTTAGGAGGCATGGGATGAAATTACTATATTACAATTTATCAATTTCTATGTTAAGTTTGGAACTGGTTATTTAAGAATTTTGTAAATTCATAAAAATAGTAAAAGAACTTTGGGAAACATATGAGAAATGAGCTGTGATTGATGTAGAAACATAGTTTGTTAATTGGAAAATTGATTGATAAGGAAAAGTAATTGAAAAATGGAAAATGCATCTAAGAGGATTGGTGCCTGTTCACCTAATGAGGAGTAAACGTGCAAAAAAAGATGTCAATTTTATTATGATTTTTATTTAAAAATGTTAATTTTGTTAATTTTTAAATAAGAATATCAACTTTTAATATTTTGTATTTAAAAATGTCAATTTTCAATTTTCAATTTTCACACTTTCAATTTTTAACTTTTTTTATTTAATGATGTTAACTTTCAACATTTTAGTTAAAGAATCCATTTGTCACATTAGTATCATTATTCAATTAATCCTTAAATAAAAAATCCTTAAATAGAAGAAATTAAAAGTTGATATTTTTAAATAAAAAATATTAAAAGTTGATATCTTTATTTATAAATTAAAAAAATTAATATCTTTAAATAAAAAAATTATAAAGTTACATCATCTTTTACACTTTTACTTACCTACGTTCATGGTATGTTGTCAAGGCATGCGCCAGTCATAATTGGTAAAATATATGGCTTCGCAAATCTCACAAAGAGTAAAATGGATTTTCTTTTGTTATTCTTCCTGACATCTCTTTTTTAATAATAGTCGGTTTTTACTCTTTCCTTTTAGATTGAGAATTGATAGTTAATTCCCCAAAAAAAAAAAGTTTTTTGATAGATAATTAATATTTCTATTTACATTATCTTTAACAAAATAAAACTAAAGAATTTTTTTTTTGATATAATAGATAATTACAATGATTAGATAACAATAAGTTTAAAATAGGAAAGTAATTCTTCCTTAAAAAATGAAAAAACCACAACTGATCAAAAATAAATTTTGAGTCAAATGAAAGACCATTTTTACCTGTAAAGTTAATTTTTTTTTTTTACATCAAATGATGACCTATATAACAACTATTACTGAATTTAAAGTTACTTGATGTCATATTACATTATTTGATTGTCATTTAAATTATTTGTATATATTCCATAATTTTTTTCTATATTCAATTTTTTGTTTAGTAAGTTTATTTGATTAAACAATTGTTTAAATTATTATTAACGTGTGGCGAAAAAAAAAAAAATCATCTGCTCCATAAAAGCATTAATCAAATCATTACCAAACTATATATTCCCTCCTGTCCTTTTTAATTGTCCTACGATTTTATTAACATGATAATTTTACACAACAAGTGAATGTCAATTAAAAAAAAAAATCTAAGGGAAAATTATTAACCAAAAATATGTAGAGAAAGAAAAAAAATGTTCGATTGTCCTCTATTTACTATTGTTATATTATAAAATTATTTAGTTGCTAAATTTAAGATAAAAATCAAAATAAAACAACTAAATCAGACTGGCAAAGAGTTGTAGATATATTTGAGTTGGGAACTACAATTAAATTGGCATAGATCTTAAATTAATTCTCAATCATTCTCCCTTTTTTTAAAAAAATTTTAGGTTTACAATGTGAAATAATTTTTTTTCTTTTATTAACCCACCTCACTGCTCCCTGGATAAGTTAATTCTACAAAAGAAAAAAATTACTACTTAACAACTTATATTGTCACTCTCAATCATTATCAATTTAAAACTTAAATCATTGGCACTATACTTAATTTTTTATCAACAAATCTAGATGGAATATATATTATTAAGAGTATAAGGAATACAAAACCTGAATTTTTTTAAAAAATTAATAGCTAAAAGTTGATACAAAACTTTTTGTTTTGTTTTGTTTTGTTTTTGTTTTTTTTTAATGAGTTTTTTTTTTTTTAGTTTGGACTACGCAGTATTTGAAAACTTATTGGACCACCGATTAATTCGGATTTGAACCGGATAGATCCAGCAGGCAATAAAGTTTTTCTTCACGAGTTTTAACAAAATTGCATTTATAGAACTTAAAATCAAGACCTATAATTAAATTAAAAAAATCCCCTACCAACTTATTCACCGAGTTTTTTTTTATGAAAAATTGATTCAAAACTTACACTACCGTATATGGATTACTACTATATTAGACAAAGAGAGGCCTACATTTTATCCGGAGAAATCAATAATGCCAGTTCCTTTGTATTGTCACTCTCACAAATTCACAACTCAGCGTTAGCCATTGGACCATCACCAGTACCCTATTATTGTGCTGACTTCCATTTCGTAGACTTTTTAAACTACACTCATAAAAACGGCGCTTATGGTAAGGAAACTTTTAAGTTTCATATTGATAAATAAGGATTGTTTTTTTATTAAATTTATAGTTTATTTTTAAATTAATATTTAAATAAATTAATTTCTTTAAATATTTTTAAAATGTACCCTTAAAAATACCTAAAAAATGATTAATATGGAGTGTGAAAACTAATGAAAACACCTTAATAGTAAATTAAAAGAAATGGCGGGAAAATAATTAAATTGACAAAATAAAACGATTATGTAACACTACTTTCAACCACGTCGTCAAAAAGACAATCCTTGTGTTTGTTACAAATTGAAATTGTGAAATTTAGAAAGCCCACAGTAAAAGAGAAAATGAAAAAGAAATTCAACGTGCCATGCAATCAAAAGTTCAAAACTGGATTGAAGACAATTTAGCGGGATTGCGCGAATATTGGTGTCCGAGAAAATTTAGCGAGAAAATTTAGCGGCTGTTATCGACTTTTCTCAATTACAGTACCATTTTACTTTATTTCATAATCTAGCCACAAGAAACATCCAACTAAAGTTTCGCCTATTGTGCTACATTGTAGTTTTAATTTTTTTATAAGGTCAAATGCCAAAATTAATTTATAAATTTTTAATTTTAAATAAATATTATCCTTTAATTTTTCTTTTTTTTTTATTTCTCCACTTTAAAAAATATAATTATTTTATTCTTCAGTAAGCGAAGAGACATCGTGATGTTAAATTTGTTCAAATGGTATTTTCCTCTTATTTTTGCTGATGTGGTAATAACACATCACCACAAGCTTTATGATATGTAATAATAGTTTATTATATTAAAAAATAAATTAATAATTTCAATTATTAATAGTAAAATGATTATTTTAACCTTTATTTCATCTTCTACCCTAGTCTTTTATCTTTATATCTCAATTCATCTTTCTCTTCCTCCTTCTCCCTTTCAAGAAAGTCTGCTACATTTTGGGAATATCACTTCAATAGTAACCCTGATTAACTATAGTATGTCACGTTATCACCTTTTTTTCTACCTTATTAGCCACATTAGCAATTTTTTTCACTTCAGTGGTTTCCATTAATGGGTAAAAAAATTACTGACATGAAACGCCATAATTCATCGAGATACGACATTCAAGATACAGCAGACTTTCTCCTCCCTTTCCTCCCTCGATAACTCTGATGTTCTCTTTCTCTTCCCTCTCTTTCCACTTGTTAACTCCCATTCTTTGGAGCACAGATCATTGGCTTCAAACGAATGAGTTTGTGGTGGAGATGGAGTTGAGATTTGAATCAGCGTTCAAGGCTATGGAGGAGCTGGAGAAAGGCGTCATAGCAAATCGTGATGGTAGGCGAATGGTCGGGCACTACTGGTTGAGGAATTCGAAACTAGCGTTGAACAAGTTTTTGCGCCAGCAAATTGAAAACACGCTCGATGCTGTTTGCAAGTTCGCTGATGAAATTGTTGTTGGGTTTCAGATGAAGAACCCAGTTCTGGGTTAGTAATCTTCATCCATTCTCTCTTATCCCCTTCTCATGGGTACTAGTTTCTAAAGGATTTTGTGTTAGAGAAGATAGCATCACAACGATGGGAAGCACCCAAGCAACGGCAGTGGAGTAGAGAAGAATGTTTTAGTTCTAGTAGATTTCCATTTGATTGGCGAGAAAATTATTGAAATTGGGAAAATTTTCTTGTTTGGATGTTGAGAAAGTAAAATACTATTTGGACTAAGAAATTGATGGTAAATTTGCTGTAAGTGTTTGGATATGCTGAGAAAATTATGATGTTTGGTTGCTGCAAAAATTTGATTATCAAACTATTTAATTAGTTCAGTGGTAATTTTTTTCTGTTAAAAATAAGAGATTTTGAATTCAAATCATACAATATATTAGTGAAATGAAATAAAAAATAAAAATAGTTGTGCAAACAACATAAAAAAACAAAAAAAAAAGGTGAAATTATGATTAAGTAAAGTTAAATTGAAGTCTTGTTTTTTTTTTAATTAAAATAAATGATATGGGCCCATTATAGAATTCATTTTGCATGAGTGGAACGCTGACTTGGCTTTATTTTATTGCCACATAAGCCTTTTCTATTAAGTGTCATTAATATGTCTTCAAAACATTAAAAGAAAACGCAATCTTGGAATATTTTAACGGTTACATATCAATTAATGGAAGATTAAAAAGTGTATTTTTTAAAATTAAGAAGTAAAAAAAATGTAAAGAAAAATTACGAGAAAGTTTGTTTAAAATTAAAAGTTTAAGAATTAAATTTTGTATTTTAAAATTTTTATTATTTTAAAAATATACAAAATATTAATTAAAATTAATTAAAAAAATAAAAAAATATTATTAATAAAAAATTTATATTTTTAAATAAAATGTTAGGTAAAGTATGATCAAATGAAACTGAACAGGAGCTTGTTAAATTGTTATTCATTAATTCATAAAATACTGATTTGATGTAAAATCAGATATTTAAACATCTACAATATCATACAACTAAGGGACCAATTGCGTAACAAGGTATTTTTTCAAGTTTTAATTGATATTTGAATTCTTAATCTTTAAATGCTTAAATTTTGAAAAGTGAACCATTAGATAAAGGTATCGACAATATTCAGTTTTAACTTTTAACCAAATTAATAGGCCTTTTGAATTGAACCAAAATTTTTAACTTTGGTTAAAGTAGTTAAGCAGTTAATTCAATTAAGAATTGAATTTAATCAAATGGAAATTTTAATTCAATTACAATTAAGATAATATTATCAACTATGTGATCTAATATTAAAATTATTTATATTTTTAGTTACAGATTGTAAGGGTAAGTCCAGAGCTTCCTGCTAGAATAGCTACATGGCAGCTACGATGAGCATCCTTGTATCTAGACATATCCCAATCTCCCGGTCCCGAAATAATTGCTGGGAGATACATATCAAATCCCGGATATTTTGCTTAGCTCAATCTCCCGGTCCCGAACTAACTGCCTGGAGATACACATCGGATCCCGGATATCTTGCTTGGCATCTTGATTGGCGTACCGCGTGGATTCTGCATCAAAACATATAAATACCCCTTAAGGGCCACGCCAAAAGGTGATGAAAAAACCAACCTTAAACTCCTTGTTCCTTCGCTTTACAGGTAGCCCTGATTATTGCTGACTTAAGCATCGGAGTGTCTACCCCGAGATCCATCTCGGGGCTTTGCAGGTCAATCTGGAGTGCAGATACGGACTGAAGAAGGGCTTCCGGTTTGATGCAGTTACATTTTGGCGCCGTCTGTGGGAAACTGAACTAAAGGCTTCTTTGTTGCTCTTATCATGGTTAAAACTAGGTCAGCCCGAGGGGGAAACTCGTCTCAGCCTCTTGGACGAGGTCAGGTCCCCAGCAACCTTCCACCTCATCCTCCACCCCCAATCCCAAATACATTCCCTCCTGTTGATCATGCAGAAGGAGAAGACGAAAATCAACCACACAATTCGGTTAGCCACTCAGCCTCTACTGCTAACCAAGACGTAGTTGCAACTCAGCTCGCTGCCATGCAACAGCAGTTTGGTGTCTTTCAGCAAGTGCTGGCTCAGCTGTTAGCCCGGAACAATCCTGGTGATCCACTCATCAATCTACTTAATCCTACCCCACCACAACCCCTGGCCCCACCACAAAATCCTGGACCAGTTCAAGATGCTCCCGCTGTTAGTGAATCTCAGGGCCAATCTCACATCGCGTCGGTTATGCAACCCCCTCGTGATGATGTCGCTCGGCGTTTAGACAGCTTAGAAAAGCTAGTGGTCGAACAGCGAGGTATTCCACCTCCACACCCTACTGCTGACTCCGTACCTCACCCTCTCAACACCAATATTATATTGGAACCCTACCCCGTTGGCTTCAGAATACCACAGCTTGAAACTTATGATGGGACGAAGGACCCCGATGATCATCTACATGCTTTCTACTCTTGCATGCAGGCCCAGAACGCTTCTGATGCATTGATGTGCAAAATCTTCCCCTCTACTCTCCGAGGTAACGCTCGAACCTGGTACTACAGTCTGCCTCCGAGATCAATCAACTCATACACAGAACTGGCATCCGCTTTTGCCACAAAGTTTTCCAGTAGAAGGTTGATCAGGAAAACCACTTCCGAGCTGATGCGGGTTAAGCAAAGGGACGGAGAGTCTTTGAAGAATTTTATGAGCAGATTCAATGATGCAGTGCTAGAGGTTAACTCTTTCGACCAAGCAGTGGGCATTACAGCTGTGATCTCGGGTCTCGGCCATGAAAGATTCCGAGAAAGTCTGCTCAAACATCCCGCCACCACCTTCAGTGAGGTAAATGATAGATCATTGAAATTCATAACTGCTGAGGAATATGCCCTGTCGCAGAACGTCACCCCTGCCAAGAATCAACACCCAGACTGGCGAGAGGAGAATCCGAACAGGAAACGGATGAAGACATCGCAGAACCGAGGACCGATGTCGACCCTGAGATTCGGAAGGCCGAACCCAGCACCTCCGCAACAACCTGTAGGTAAACCTCCAGTTAATTGGACTCCTTTTAATTTACCAAGGTCACAAATCTTCATGCAGATTAAGAATAAAATGGACTTACGACGTCCGGGTCCAATGAGAACTGCTGCTGCTACCAGAGACCATACACGGTATTATGACTTTCATCAAGATCACGGTCATACAACAGAGCAATGCAATAGTCTGAGGTCCGAACTGGAAAGCCTGGCGCAGAAAGGGATGCTGAATGAGTACATCCAAAGAGTGGAACAGCCTCGATTCGTCAGGGAACAAGGGACACAGCATCAAGGAATCCGCAACCCCCCAAACAGGCAAGGTGTGGGATATCAGCAGGCCCCACCACCACTCCCACCACCAGCTAGAGTCATACATATGATTACGGGAGGTCTGGAAGCAGGTGGATTGAGCTCTAAGCAGAGAAAGTTGTACGTTAGAGAGGTTAAGCACCAGAACCGGAGTCAGAAGCGCAAATTTGACGAGGCTGAGTGGAAGAATCAACCCATCACCTTCACATCTGCTGATCTCTAAACAGTTGTCACACCTCACAATGATCCTCTAGTTACTTCCGTCACGATCAACAATTGTGAAGTGCAGCGAGTCCTTGTTGACACCGGGAGTGCACCAGACATCATGTACTTCCATTGTTTTGAAAGTCTTGGAATAGATCCAGCTCTGTTGCAGCGGTATGATGGTCCCATTTACGGATTTAACAACCAACCAGTTCTAGTTGAAGGAGTCCTCACTATGAATGTTGCATTTGGCAGAGGCCGAAGTTATGTGACCCCGTCAGTCAGGTTTTTGGTAGTCAAGATGGCATCCTCATTCAATGTCGTCATTGGTCGACCCACACTGACTGAAATCCGAGCTGTGGTTTCCCAATCGCATCTATGCATGAAGTTCCCAACTCTTACGGGAATAGCAACACTGCGAGGCAACCAGGAGGTGGCCAGGCATTGCTATATCACCTCGGTAACACAACCTCAGAAGGACAAGGCTCAGACACCCGAGATTAATCCCAAACAGATACCTGATGATCGGCAAGTTATGGGTGTTGAAATAGTAGATAATCGACCAGAAGATGAAACCAAAGCTGCTCCGGTTGAAGATGTGGAGGAGGTACAAATTGATGACAGAGATCCGAGCAGGAAAACGCAAATTGGGACTAAGTTGAACTCGGAAGACAGAGCAGAGTTAATAGCTTTTCTTCGGGCCAATAACGATGTTTTTGCATGGACCTCAGCAGATATGCCGGGAATCCCCACTTCAGTTTTTCAACATAAACTCAGCACCAATCCCCTCAAGAAACCAGTAGCCCAGAAGCGACGTCTCTTCGGGGGGGAGAGGCTACAGGTTATTAAAGAAGAAGTCGAGAAACTCTTACAAGCCGGCTTTGTCAGAAGGGTAGATTATTGTGAATGGGTCGCCAACCCGGTGCTAGTGAAAAAAGCAAACGGTAAATGGCGAATGTGCATTGATTACACTAACCTCAACGATGCATGTCCAAAGGATTGTTACCCAATGCCAAACATTGATAAACTGGTTGAGGCGGCTTCGGGAAATGAGAGATTAAGTCTCTTGGATGCATACTCAGGCTATCACCAGGTCCCAATGGCTCCCGAGGATGAAGAAAAAACCTCGTTCTATGCTGGTGATGAGATCTATTGCTATGTAATGATGCCCTTCGGCTTGAAGAATGCAGGCGCCACTTACCAGAAGATGGTTACCATCGTGTTCCGAGCTCAGATTGGACGGAATCTGGAAGTTTATGTTGACGATATAGTGGTGAAGAGTTTGAAAGCCGACGATCACTTAACCGATCTTGAGGAGACATTCAACAATCTCAGACAGAACATAATGAGGTTAAACCCAGCCAAGTGCATCTTTGGTGTGGAATCTGGAAAATTCCTGGGTTTTATGGTTTCCCGGAGAGGGATTGAGGTCAACCCAGAGAAGATCAGAGCAATTGCCGAGATGGAACCACCGAAGTCAGTGAAGGACATACAGAGGTTGACTGGAAGGGTAGCAGCT